GGCGCGAACACCTGACCTCCCACACAAATTCCACACTTTTCACCAGTTGGGCACTTCATCTTAATTAATTATTTCTGTCAAATATTATATTTATTGTATAAATATATAACAAAGTAAACTAGAAAATATACACTGTGTACCATTGTACAAGTGGTGTTTCCCTGGAGGCAAACCCAGACACCTGGCTCAGCTGTCCCAGAAATCTGCATGGCTGAAAAAAAGAAAGCTGTGCTTGCCATCACAATCATATCTCAACTCACAAAATCCGAAAGATTTTTTAGTTGTATGTTTGTTATTTGTAACGCTCCCAACAATTTCTCCTCCGCCTCTACCTTAATCATATTCTTATGTATGTTTGTGGTTACATAAATCTTGCTGTGAATATTTATCAAGATATTTTCTCTATCTTTCTTGACCACACCCTCTCAAAATATCCTCTTTTGCCCACTTGCTTGCTCCAAGAAATGTTTATATATGAAAGGTGGGCTTGTTGTGTAGTGTGATTCTGAAGATGGAATCATCTCAAGAGAATATGATTTCGAGAAACAATTTGGTAAACCCCGTTTCTTGATTTCCATTTTAATGCTTACCCATATATTTTCTTGAACTTCTCAGAATTATTTTTTAATGTTAAATTGTTGTATTTTTTCTTTTTCTTTATTGACTTATGTTGTAACTCCGTTTAAATTGATTGTAAGTTTTGGGTTTTAAGAGAGTGTAAAATCTCATCGATGAATTATGCGAACATCAGTACATGGGACCCCCACCCACCGCTCACCCTTAAAAAGCATAAGATTGAAACTTAAAATTTATTGCACATACATCTTGTAAAATATTCTCTAGAATTTTGGAGAATATAAGATGTGGCTGGCAGCAGAACATGGGATGTTTTTGCGGTTTACAAAGGAAGGTTGGATGACAACAATGCCAGAAAGTCTAAATATGGATTGGGTTGACAGTGTTAAGGTGCTTATTGGACTATTGGATAACTAGTATTCGTTATGAATTGCCTTTATTTATGAAATTCTAATCTCTATCACCGATTTTTCAGCATGTGTTTGAATATTTTACTGAGAGAACACCCTGTTCTCATTTTGAGCTCCGTGAGACCTCGCTAGTGTGGAACTATAAGCACGCAGGTGATTTGTGTTTATATGTTTCCATTGTTCACCATTTTAAAGAATTTCTCTATTTCAAATTTTCATTTTCAGATTATATTTTTTATTAATGTTCTATGTTTATATCCATAGACATATATTTTGGGAGGCTTCAAGCAAAGGATATGTTGCAGCATCTATTGACAGGCCCAATATCAAATGCTTCTGTAGATGTGGTCCAAGGTGGGCGATCTGTTGAGGTCCGAGCAGTTGGTGTTACCAAGGCAAGTATTCTGGTAATATTATTAACTACTTATGTTATCCAAGAGATTTCACATCTTGTTTCCTATGTATAAACAGGGAGCAGCAATTGACAGAATCCTTGGGGAAATAGTTCACCACAATGATGTGAAAGCACCCATTGATCATGTCTTGTGCATTGGACATTTTGTGCCAAAGGCATGTGATCATATTTTTCCAACTCTGTAGAGTTTTATTATGATTGAGACATTCAGTTTCAGTTTTCTGGTAGGGAAGATTTCTTTTTTCCCTATTTCTAATTGATCTTCCCTTCCCTTCAAACCATTCAGTGAACATTAGACACAAATGTCGTCAAAGAAAAAAGGGGACAAATGCATAAATATATTTGTATTCTACTCTCACTTAATGGACTGTCTAGCAAGCACTTGTACAAATAGCCCTCCAATTTTGCACATGATGGAAGAAGTTGCATATATTTGTATGATAAGCAAATAAGCTACTGATAGGATACTGCATACTATCACTTCAGGAGGATAACCTGGTGAGATTAAGGAGGATATCCACAAATACATAACCAAAACCATGTAGTATTACAACGTTTTAGAACTCATCTTCTTTTTTATCTGAAGAATCTGGTAACTGAGTACCTTACAACTGTATGCAATGTTTCAGGATGAAGACATTTATACGTTTTTTGAGCCAGAGCTTCCTTCTGGACCATCACCTACTCCAAGAGCCAAGATGGTCAAATCTGTAAACAGAACTGTTACAAATCTTTCAGCGGGGACTAGTGGGCTTGTGTCATTCAACCATAAACGTCCTATATCCTATCGGACCTCAGAGAAGAGAGCAAGCAATCATACAAATGGGAAATGGTGGTCTAGGATGCTTAACCGAATGACAATGCATGAAGGCTCATTAGTTCTTGATCTCAAGGCTGACAATTACTTCTCTTGTGCAGTAGGACGAAAGTGCTCAAATGTGAGATATCTTCTTCGATCATCAGCTGATATTGTATCCCTGTTGAAGGAGCTGGTAGATTCTCAACTGTAAGATGTGCCTTATGCTTCAATCAAGTGGAAGATTAGAATCCTTGCACGAGGAGCCTGGAAGGCTATAACAGTCAGAGATCCTCTTGCAGGTAAGTTTTGTCGTGTAATGTGCTAAAACTCAAGTATTAACTGATGCTTACTCCAAATTTTCAATTAAGAAAACTTAAGTGCAGGTGTTTCAAATAAGATTTTGCCTTGAAGCTCGTTTCTATCCCTTAAACTTGTCATGCAAATGCTATGGTATCAGAAAGAATCTTTAGAACATTTATGCATCCAACATCTATCTATATTGTAAAACCAGTACGAGCATGTCTTGGCCGAGTACACTGGCATCGAGCAAGTTCCAAAAGTATTTTTGTGTTTTTACTTCTTTAATCGTCTGGATTCAATCCTCAAGCTATTTGGTTGTATGAGTTTTAACTACGAAGAGAAATGTCATATCTATTCTTTCAAAAATTATTGTTTTCTTTTGAACAATTTTTGTATTTATTTTTGCTTTAAGTTCATAGGAGAATACAAAGTGTATGTGTTACAGGTCTATGTCAGACCCTCCACCTCGATCGCCACGTGTCAGCATACGTGGTCAATCCACGGATCGACCGAGGCGATTGCTCATGGGATGATCTGATTGTACCTGCCGAAGTGACTGCCTCTTGGAACGAATTGAGTATGCGTCAGCGGATGAACCGGACTCATCCACAAATACGCAGTGGATGTGAAGGCCCGCACTCCTCTTCCACAACGCTGCAACGCCCCACCTGCCTCGCCTCGTTGTCAAAGATCTCTTGTACAAAGATCTTTCCAAAGTCAAATCCCTGACTGATGGGACGTGTGGCAGGACCCGAACAGTCAATTCAGCTGTCTTTGTCAGAGACATTCAATGCCAGCCAGCCTATGGATGGATAGATCGACACCTAGGATGGGACGAATTTTGGAGATCTAGCAACACGTGTCTCCTCATCCAACGGTCCTCCTCTTCCCATCCTTAATATAAATGCTTCTTCCTTATGCCTGAAGAAGGGAGACCTTTTTTTTGGGGATTCAATACACTATTACACCAAACATTTGATTATCATTTTCTCCCCCATATTATTGGCACTTTTATTATTGCATGTTCAATCATTCCCGGTGAGTGTTCTACCACTGACGAACCCCTTTTGATTGAGTTTCAGACTAACTTGATCGACGAGTGCTTGCTGTCGTTCCTAACCCCTCCGGGAAAGGCCACGAGCGACTGATGGCGTGTCACGTGTGCAGGGAGGAGTTGACTAGAAGACCTTCTATTGGCCGCGTATCGGAGCAATTTTTCGAGGTCAACAGATTGGCGCCGTCTGTGGGAACTAACTTAACCACGAGTTTTCCCACCAAAAAGCTGCTTGAACATCCGGTTGATATTCCCTCTTTGAAAAAGGGACTGATTCTTGGAAAAAGGATCCTTCAGCCACTTCGGGACATGAGTTCCAGCAACGAAGAGGCAAATGCAGGGGCAAGGGACGTCTCTGAAGAAGAGATTATCCATACCAATGTCAATCAACAACGACCTCACCATCGTTACCGTCGAGGTGGGAGAACTGCCGCATATTTAACGGCCGAAGTAGCCCAAATGGCTGCTAACATGAGAACCATCGTGGCTCAAAATGCGATCATCCAAGAGCTTCTTAGGCAAGTGCAAAGTCAGGGCGGTTTTCAAGCCCCACAATATCCCCAACAATCTGCCCATAGACACGTCGAGGCGGAATCCAGCAGGAGAACTCACGTGAGTCCTCAGGGGGAAGCTCCTGTTGAAAGAGAGGTGGGGATGGACACCTCTAACTATACTGCTACCCCAGTCAGTGCCCCAGCAGGGGAATACAATTTTCCCCCCGAGTATGAGGAATGACCTCAGACATCTGTTAGCGTTTTTGACAGGATCGGACGGGCACCTAGAAATAGGGATCAGCCCCGCCAAACAGCTCCTCAGCAAAGGTGAGAAGAAAGCTATGAAACCCAGGACCCCCCCACCTAGAAATAGGCGGGAGAGGCGAAGTCAAGTGGATTGGGGAAATAGGACTGAAACTGCTCAATGTCCACCCCGTCCAGCAGCAGATGTGAACGAATCGGACGAACCCTTTAGCTCATACGAGCTGGACGACGATGATGACAACTTGCCCTTCTCCAGAGAGCTTTGCACTTTTCCAATGCCTCAAAACTTTGTCCCTCCAAAAATCTCCAAATACGAAGGAAAATGTGATCTAGAGAAACACCTCAATAAGTACAAGACACAGATGAGCTTCCGTGGCGCCTCACCAGCTTTGAAATGTAGGGCTTTTCACCTAACCCTTGGTGGAGCTGTTGAAATGTGGTACAGTAGATAGGCGCCGCTTAGCATACGAAGCTGGCCCGACTTGAAAAAATCATTCTTGAACCAATACCTCTCAAGGAAGGAGGGAGAGGCTCCGATTTAATGCTTGCAAGACATGAGACAAGCGACAGGAGAGACCCTGAAAAGCTACCTTGCCCGGTTCACATATGAGATAACTTACTATAAGCAGGTCACGGACAAGGAGGCCCTGTCAGCTCTGAAAGGAGGCTTGAACATGAACAATTTATTCTGGAGAGACGTCCGAAGCAAGAATCCTTTAACGTATGATGAATTAGTGGAGATGATGAAAGTTGAAATCGTCAATGAAGAAATGATTGACCATAGGAACAGAGCCGCCCAGGGGCTCTCACCACCTCAAAGGCAGATGGGCAGAGGGCCCACCTCTTAAATAGTAAGTTAGCAGTGGACTCAGGCCAGGCACATTGTGGCCCCCCACTTCAGGACAGGCACTGGCCACAGTCATTATGAACGCAGTCCTCACCTTGGCATACGAAAACGTTGGGCCAAGTACAAGCAACCCAGCTAGAAACACTGGATGACCCTCAACCTCTAGAAATAGGGGAAGGGGAGGAAGGCCTAGAGTTAGGCCCCCAGAAGTACAATCCTATTATACCCTCCATCGCCACTATGGCCATGATACCAATGATTGTATGGGGTTAGGAAGACCGGCAAGTAATCCTCGTAATAGCAGGAATCACTACTACGAAGGCAGCAATCCGAGGCTTAGCTCCCACAGAAGGGGTTAGATGAGGCGACACTCTCCAAACAGTAGAAACGATGGTAGGAACAGGCCTCGAGACGGGCAGCGCCCCAGGACAGACTCAGCCCCTCGAACGAACAGCAACCGATACGTGAAATCGACACCATCATGGGAGGGCCCCATATGGGAGGCGAATCAAAAAATGCACAAAGGAATTACACTAGGGAGGCAAGACCCCGCTTAGGACCAGCTATACAGTTAGCCGATCGCATGATGGGAAAGCTACAGAGCCCATTACGTTTACCCAAGAAGATGCAACGGGTGTACACTTCCCACATTGTGATACCTTGGTAGTCAGAGCCGTGGTGGCCCGCAATGGGCTAAGTCAGAGCCGTGGTGGCTCGCAACGGGCTGAAACGCATGCTGGTGGATAATGGCAGCTAAGTCAATATCCTGTTCGACACAACTTTAGACAAAATGGCAGTAGATCACGAGCTGACACCGATGAGCTCGCCCCTTTACAGATTCACCGTAGACAGCATCATTCCCAAGGGAAAGATTACTCTGGCTATTGAAATGGGAGCCTTGCCCCAGATAGCACACCACTTCATGGAATTCCTGGTTGTGGATCGTCGATCCGCCTACCATGGAGTCTTGGGGAGGCCCGCCTTAAAAGAACTATGGACAGTCACTTCTATCCATCACCTCTGCATGAAATTCCCAACTGAATGAGGGATTACCACTATCCAAGGCGACTAGATGTGATCCAAGGAGTGCTATCTTAAATCGTTAAGGAAGGCAAAGCCTCGAGTTAACATGGTACTAGACACTAAGATGACGGAGGCCCCTGAAAAAGGGCAACCCCCGACACAAGATGTTATCATGACGGAAGCAAGACCCGAAGTGCCTTTGGAAGAACTAGACCCCAGGATAATTGAGTCGAGTCACAAATTGCCCCAATGGAAGAATTGGAAAAGTTCCCAATGGACCCCCAAGACACATCTAAGGTCTTGTAGGTCGGGAAGCAACTAGATGAGGAGGTTAGGGAGGAACTGAATTGCTTCCTTCGACATAATTCAGACGTCTTTGCGTGGAGGCATGAGGACATGATTGGCATAGATCCCAAGGTCAGTTGCCATCACTTGCAAATTGACCCGAGCTGTACTCCACACAGGCAGAACAGAAGAGCATTGAATGCCGAAAGATATGAGGCCTTGAAAGAAGAAGTGGAAAGGCTCATCAGTAATGACTTCATTCGTGAGGCCAAATATCCGAAGTGGATTTCAAACCCGGTGCTTGTGAAGCATAATGGTAAATAGAGGGTTTGCATGGACTTTTCAAACCTTAATCAGGCCTGCCCGAAGGATAGCTTCCCGCTTCCGCGGATCAACCAATTGGTAGATTCAACTACCGGGCATGAATTGTTGAGCTTCATGGATACCTATTCAGGCCACAATCAAATACCTATGTTCCAAGGCAACGAAGACAGCACCTCCTTCATCACGGATAGAGGGCTTTACTGTTACAAGGTGATGCCTTTCGGCCTGAAAAACGCTGGAGCAACCTACCAAAGTCTGGTCAACAAAATGTTCGCCGATCAGCTCCGCAAAACAATGGAGGTTTACGTTGATGATATGCTTGTGAAAAGCCTCATGGCTAAGAAACACATCGAACACCTGGCCGAAGCCTTCAGAACCCTAAGAAGGTATCACATGAGGTTAAACCCCTTAAAATGCGCCTTTGGCGTGGCTTCCGGGAAGTTCTTAGGTTACATCGTGAATCAACGGGGAATAGAAGCCAACCCAGAAAAAATCAAAGCCTTAATCGAGATGAGGTCACCTCAGAAACCNTGAAAAACTACTTGGGACGAACACCCCTCTTTAGCAAACCAAGGGAAGGAGAACCCTTATTGTTATACTTCGACATGCCTGAGGGTTCAATCAGTTCAATGCTTGTACGGGAAGAAGAAACACACCAACTGCCGATCTACTATGTGAGCAGAACCCTACTCCCCGTCGAAACCCGATACCCAGACATGCAGAAATTTGCTCTTTCTTTGGTCACTGCTTCCCGAAAACTGAGGCCGTACTTCCAAGCCCATAGCATTCGCGTCCTAACAAACTTTCCGTTGAGGCAG